CCACTTCAGCGATAGTAAAAGTACCCAGCACGCAAAGAAGCGGTTCTGAATGTGCACAGAAGAGACCCTTTTTATTAACAGAATCTCAAAGGAACATTACTAACATACTAACAGAGAATACATGTAACAGGACTAAGAAAAGAAGTTTGGCAACACACAGAAGAAGCCCAAGAAGATTAATTGGACACTACTAACAGTTTAATTTACCAGTTTATATATCACTCAGCTTTCTCTTTCTCCCACTGTCTACCCCTTCCTTTTTTTCTTTTAAGCGAAATACCTCCCCTTTTTAGGGGAGCCAATAAAACCTTTATATATATAAAAAAAGGAGTGAGCTGCCAAATGCCCCTGATGTGTGGATGGACTGCCTTTAGAGGGAAGGACTTGCTCATAAATGGCACATGTGACACACCAGCACCATACCAAGGGCAGACATCATGTAGGAATTAATACAACTTTCAGGTTAAGAGGGTTCATGCCACACCCTGCCTATATAGGTTCCAGAATTGTACCCACGATCCCAAACAGTTCTCAAACATTTTGAAAAGAGGCCCATTTCTGAACTTGCTGTACCCTTCTGGAGCTGTAAACTGTCAGCTGTTTAACTATTCTCTGGGGTCCCCTGGTGGCTAGAAAATGTAAATATAGTCAATTACTTACTACTGATAGTATTTATTTATCGTATGGCAGAATTACACACAGGAAGCATATAATAATATAAAATACATAACCAAGTTGATACAACAGGTATACAGACCAATTGGGTAATCTCCCTAAATCCTAATATGTAATTTTCCATCCACTCAATCGCAGCTGGGGAGAGTTCAAAGAGCTCCATCACATCTCCCTGGAAAGCACGACACTCACATTCCTGTGAAAGATGGCAAACAGTTTGGCAGGCTGCCCCACAATTGTATTTGGGTCCTGATATTTTGCCCCATTTAAACAACAGGTCTGCACAACTGACAAAGCCTCTTCATATTCTATGACAAAGCCTCTTCATATTCTATTAGCCATCTTCCATACTTTCCATGGTTGGAGTGGGTTTAATACATCCACTGATGGTTCTCATTGTTGTACTGAATTGAATATCAGGTTTGTGGAGATGGGGACTGTTGAGCCACACTGAAGCACCATATTCCGCAGTACTATACATCAACTCCAAAGCTGAGCATCTAAGAGTTTTAGCAGATGCACCCCAAATTGTACCACATGATTTTTGGAGACTGTTGTTTTGTGTGCGTATTTTCGCTGCTACATTGATATGATGGTTTATAGCTCAAGGTCCTGCCCAGGGCAATGCCAAGGTACTTAGATGTATGGTTGTGTGTAAGTTGGGTGCCATTAAGGAAGACGTTCAGTTCATGGTTGGGAAGATTGTTATTGAGATGGAAACAGGAACATTCTGTTTTTCCTGACCTTGGGATAAGCCACCATTTGCTGTAGCAGTCAGCCAAAATTTCAAGGTCCCTAGTCAGCATTTCCTCAGTCCTTTCAATTGATTTGTGTCATACTGAAATTGCCATGTCATCGGCATAAAGCAAACTTCCCGGATATCATTTCAGGAACATCAGAGATGTACAGATTGAAAAGAACTGGAGCGAGCACCAAGCCCTGGGGTAGACCATTATTCAGTTTCTTCTGTTTGCTGACTGATGCATAATTACCTGGAAAGTTCTCTCTCTCATCATGTTATTTACAAGTCAAAATAATATTCTGCAGAGGAAAACTTGTAAAAACTTGTATAGCAGACCATCCCTCCTCACTGTGTCATAAGTGGCAGTTAGATCAATGAAATTGTTATTGGAAAAAAAAAAGCAACTGCTGATGTCTTAAGACAGCTCTGATGCCTTGCTTCAATTAATGTTGTTAAGCTGAGAAATTGGTCTTCACAACCACGACGGAGTCTAAATCCTGCTTGCTCTATAGGAACATGTTTGCAGGGCCGGCTCGAGGTGCTTCTGCGCCCTAGGCAGGCGCAGATGCCAACCTCCCGGTGGGGCCTGGAAACCCTTTCGCTGCCACCTCCTCCTTCCCCCCAGGGGGGAGGGGGAGGGTGGGTGAGCTACGGCATGGGGCTGGCTCAGGGGCGGGGCTGGGCGGCACAGAGGGGCGAAGCTGCCCAGGTGGCTGGTCGGCTGGCCAGCCAGGTGGTGATTGGTCGGTCGGGGATCGCGCTGTGCCCAGCCACCATCTGCGGGGAGCCCTCGCGGCGGAGGCGGCAGCATCTCTGGAGCCCTGGTGGCGCCGGCTGCTGGTGCTGCTGAGCGGAGCCGAGCAGTGGCGGCGGCGGGAGCTCCGGAGCAGTCTGGCCGGCTGGCTGCTGGGGCCATGGAGCTGCGGGCCGGCCGCGGCAGCGGAGGAGGAGGCACACACACTCGTGAAGTCCCATCGGGCCCGGGCGGGGAGCCTCCCGGCTGGGCGCAGCACAGCAGCCCCCGATCACCAGCCAAGGAGGAGGAGGAAGACGGAAGAAGAGCCTCCCTGGAAGAGGAGCCCCCCACACCCCCCATGGCGCTCTCTGCCTCCTCACCACCTTCCTTCCTTCCCTGCTTCCCTCCCTCGCCGCAGAGAGAGAAAGCGTGAGAGAGAGGGGCGGGCAGAGACCCTTGATCCCCGCCACCTTTCTTTTCTCTCTCTCCCTCCTGGTGGGAGGCTCAGCTGCCATGGGGCCGGAGGGCGCAACCCCCCACGCTTCCCGCCTCTGCTCCTTGCCAGCCGCCATGGCGGCGGCGATCACCCGGTTAAGGCAGCGGCAGTGGGGTGCGGGGCGGGGTGCACTTTGGCGCCCCTGAGGACCAGCGCACTCTAGGCGAGTGCCTAGTTCGCCTAGCGGGCGAGCCGGCTCTGCATGTTTGTTAATTCTGTCACTGATTCTGTTCAGAATCAGCCTCTCAAGTTTATAACGAGCTCAGAAGAGAAGTAGGTCTGTAACTTTCCACTGGATGCTTTGGTTTTCCAGGTTTCAGAATAGCAACTATTTTTACTTTCTTGAATTCCCCTGAGAGTCTTCCTGTTCTCATGATGTCAGTGAAAAATTTTGCACACCACTTCCTAGTGAATGTGCTGCTGTTGATCAGGAACTCATTATGGATGTAGTCAATGCCTGGTGCCTTTCCACTCTTGATGTCCTTCAGTGCCTTTGAAACCTCATCAACACTAAAATCCCCTGACAGCTCACAGTCTTCAGGGCAAGTGAGTTTCAGACTCTGGAGTTCTTTTTAAATACTGATTGTAAAATCTTGATCAGAGCTCTGGATAGGGACAAGAGTTGGGCAGCTACCTGGTTTGATGTTATCTCTGGATTTCCTTAGAGCACAGGTGGGCTTGCACATAGTTTTTTCAACAGGCTCCAGGCTTTCCTACTGGAATGCCTGAAGTTCAACTCCACAGTTACTTTGGGTCCATTTTTGTCTGCATGCAGCATCAAGTTCATGGAGTAGTTCATCTGCTACTTCTGGGTCTTTGCTGTTGAAGAAATTTTGATACAGCCTCTCGCTCTGATCATTCCAGCCTGGAATATATTCTTTCCAATACCCTCGAGGAATGTGCCTTTTCGTCATAGATATAACAGCTCCAATGAATCGGTGGTAGTTATTATGTGTTGGAGGGACCCATCCAAGACACCTATCCAGATCTTCACTGAAACCTTTCCAATTTGCGCTCTTAAAGTTCCAACATGGTCTTAGAAAAGACCTCGTAACTACTGATAGTGGGAACATGAAACTGGTCTCTGGTGCACCCTGGTGGTCACTACTAAGAATTGCTCAGTCCCCAGCTTCGTTTTTTGCCCTAAAGTGGTATGGTAACCCGAGTTTCCTACACCTTGTGATTTACAAGGGGCAGGGCCCAGTGATGCCACATGAATGGCAGCAGTAAAGGTGCAGCACACCCCAACAGAGTTTATACCATACGGCATCTGTGAATGTGTAGTGCTTTGGACAGATGAAATATTCACTACAGACAAAATAAAACAGTACATGTGTTTAAGTTACCTGTATGCTAAGTGTACTGCTAGTGACACATTATGACACTCGATCTAAGCAGGTAAGATGCTGGTCAGATGGAGCATGGACACACAGAACTGCATGGCTAGTGCAGTATAGTGATAAAAGAATTAGACTAGGACCAGAGAAACCCAGGTCAGATCCCTGCTCAGCCATGAACTCATTGGATGACCCTGAGCCTGTCGGTCACCTTCTCTCTGATTAACCTGCCTTACAGGATGGTTACTGGGGGAATAAAGACTAAAACCTGAACTACCCACCCACCCTTTGGCTCTGCTATCTGTCTCCTCCTGCTCTTTATGGAACTGAGCATCCTCGGAAGTCTTGCTCAATGAGAGAACTTCAGAAAGGTAAGCAACCAATTCTAGTGACATGCTGCATATTGAGCCAGGGTGTAAAAAGGGGCCCCTTGCACTAGGTGGTGATAAGTGGGAAACTGCAGTCCATGGGTTCAGCACCCCTTCATAGCTCTATAGCCAGAAAAAGAAAGCAGCACAAAACTCACAAGCAGGTTCTGTATGTGCCATTGACTTTAGTGAATAAAAGGTATAAAGGTGTATAAGGGAGGTACAGTTTCACCACCACAGGGAGGAAGTGCGATATACCTGTCTTTGTATAGAAAGGCATACCCCACAGGTGCACCTGGTATGATAAATGGAACACTTGAGACTTAGTAAAGCTTCCTGTGATCCCTGCAGGCCACTTGTGTTGCAGCCTTCCCTAACCAGCCGCCAGGCATTCAGCAACTCCAACCAACCAAAGCTCAGCAATTCTAGCAAGCCCAAAAGTATCTTCTTCTTTCAGCACAGTCCTCAAATAGAGCAGTTGGTGTAATCTGATATTTTTATTGTTAGAAAACTTATATCCTGCTTTATTGTTAAAACACACAAACAAAGCAGCTTACAATAAAAATATATAATACAAATAATATTTAAAAATTAATAAAATTCCTAATCTCAGGAAGAATATCTTAAAACACCATCAAAGCCCTTCTGGAATAAATTTGTCTTCAAATTCCTCTGAAAGACCTGCACCTTTACGGGTAGGGAGAGCCACAGGCTTGCAGAAGCCCACCCAGATGTCCCTGATAACTGGGTCTCTGGAACAATGGATTCCTGCAGGGATGATCTGAGGACTTGGGCTAGTTCCTATGGGTGGAAGCAATCTATCAGGTATTTGGAACCCATACCACTGAGGGCTTTAATGGTTGAAACCAGCACTTGGAATTGGACCTGGAAATAAACTGGAAATCAGTGTGGTTGGCATAGTAGGGTGTTAATTTGTTCACTGCAGCAGATCCCTGTTAGCACTCCAGCGGCTGCATTTTGTACCAGCTGAATAGTCTGAATAATGCAGCATGATACAGTAATGTAACATTATCCATGAGTGTATGATTGTGGCGAACCAACCTAAACTGATGAAAAGCACCTCTGGCTTCATCTGTCAGCTATTCATCAAGGAACATAGAAGAGCCTAGGAGCATTCCCAAATGGCAAACCTTATGTAGAGTAAAACCCTATCCAGAACAATCCCATGTCAGCATTACCCCCACCCCCGGTCAACAATACTTCCATCTTGTTTGGATTAAGTTTCAGTTTGCTCATCCTCAGCCAGCCCTTCATAGCCTCCAAGCACTGATTCTGCACTTCCACCAATTCCCTGGATTGAGATGGAAAGGACAGAGAGAGCTTGGCGTCATTCACATACTGATGACACTTGATCCCAAATTCAAATTTATAGAAGAGAAGGAGGAGATATGGGATTTATACCCCACCCTTCACTACCCGAAGGAGTCTCAGAGAGGCTTACAATCTCCTTTCCCTTCCCCTCCCCACAACAAACACCCTGTGAGGTAGGGGGGGCTGAGAGAGCTCTTTCAAGAACTGCTCTTGAGAGAACAGCTCTGACAGAACTGTGACAGACCCAAGGTCACACCAGCACCTACATGTGGAGAAGTGGGGAATCAAACCCAGTTCTCCCAGATTAGAGTCCACGCTCCTAACCACTACACCAAACTGGCTCTTATAAAGCAAAACACATCCACTACAAAATCGGTCATCATGGGAAAACAGTTTAACTGATACAACTGAGAGCTCTGACAGCTAAATCAGAAATAAACAAGTGTTTCTCAAACTCAAACCAGTCCTGGACATTTTCGTTTCAATGTACCCTTGCACAATGAGTTTATTTAAATATGATCCCATGGGCAACCCCCCCCCCCAAACAAAGCCTCTAATACAGATTCAAGTATAATCCCATGCCTGCAGACATCCTCCCAGAGCCTCACCAGTTTCCACAAATCCTGTGTGTCACTCGCCAGCTCTAGTCTCTCTGCTTGGGAACAGAAGTGAATATCCGTAGCCCATGCATTGCTTTAATCTCTTCATTTAAAGCCTGGGAAACAAAGTGTTACATGTAACTATTGCAAGATACAGCATGAAAAAATATAAAACATAAAAGAGCAGGTGTTGTTCTGGTTCAGAGTTATAAAAACAGCCAAAGTAAAAGCCAAAATAAGCACAAAATGGAGTTATGTCCAAGCATGAGTAAAATGAACTTTTTCTTATATCACATCTCAGAGAGCCAGCTGTGAAAGCAGCCAAAACAACAGTGTTGTGCTTAATATATTTATTGAGCCACAAGGAGCCTCCAAAGCTTGTGCCACAATAAATTAGTTATCCTTTAAAATACTATGCCATCTGAACATCCACGTAACCAACTATCAAGCTTATGCATGTAATAATTCAACGAATCAATTATTCTAGTTCCTTTCAGCTAAAACTTGGAACCTGAATAACTCCTTAATTTTTTAACAAATGGAATGAAGATTGGGAAAGGGCAGGAGTGGAAGCTGGCCACAAAAGGGGCAGATTACTCTGAAAATACTTGAATCTCAAAAACCTGCCCTCAAGACACCCATAAGGGTCAAACACTTTCATTTCCCACAAGCTGTGATTGATCTGACATTGCTTATATAGGCATTTTAAAAGTACCAACATAAAATAATCACGTTAAAACTACAGCAGTAAAACAGATATCACTTGCATTAAAACTGTGGCAATTTGACAATATGAATAGATTTCTTGGCAGCTTCAGCACAATTGCAATAAAATAAAACTGCAGAAACAAGCAATAATGTTTTAAAAAACTGAACTAAAAACCTAGAAAGAAAGACAAAGCATTTAAAAACAGACAGCAGCAGTACAACAGTAAATTACACCCCTTCTAAGAGCATGGTCTCCTATTGAGTTATAAGATTGAGTATCCTCTGCATAGGATTATGCTGCAAATGTTGAAAGCCAGAACATAAATATTTAGAAATGTTCAAAATCTGCAGGAGCATTAAAAAAAAAATCAACAGAAAGCTTGTTAGACCAGGGGAATGATGTAGAAGGAAAGGGTTAAATGACCCAATTTCCTGCCTTCTTTTCTCTCCTGACTGCATTTGGTTTAACAAAAACAGGAGATCCATCAGGGACCTTCAACTACCCTATCAGTTTGCTGCCAGGGGTCCCCCATCCCCTAGAACAGAATTTCAGGGAGCATTTTGGGTTGCTTTGAGAGGGCAGATGTGAGGAAGTTCTATGCACAGAACTTTGACAGGATCTAATCCATTATTTGGTCTTACCTCCCACTGCATGAACACAGAAAAATGATTAAGAAGAGCCCCCATTCCAAAACATGGCAGCCAGCTTACCTGATTGACCATCTGGTGCTGTTGAACAGTTCTCTTTTCCTTAAACTCTTCAGATTCTATATGAATTTCATACATTGCTCCACAGCCACCTTGAAAAAAATTGATTTCCATTTCCCATTGGTTTGTTCTGAAGCAGCTATTTTAGTTTTAACAATCCTTCAATGCACTCTGACTTCCAATCTCACTTTAAAGAGAATAGGAGTAGAATGGGGTGGGGAATTCTTTAACCTACTCAGCCAAGGGTGGACAACTTGTTTGAAAAACAAGGTCACACAGAACGAGCCAGAGGCCACAGCCAATCAACACAGTTTAACTGTACAACTTCCTGCATTTTCAAAGGCTCAAAAGCTGCAGCCTAACTTAGACAAATGAGAAATTATGGAACATGTGCCTGTCCTAGATGGCTTTACATTCCCCTGATGAATAGGTGCATAGTTTGGGGTTTCTGCTGGACCCCACTTTGTTTTTGGATTCTCAGGTGGAGGTGATGACCATGGACACCTTTCACCAACTTGGGGTCATGGACTAGTTGAGTCTACTTCTCTTCAACTGGGATCTGATCTCAGTTATGCACGCTTTGGTATCTCATGTATTGACTACAGCAATGCACTTTGTGTGGGGCATTCAATGATCACCCATTACCACCAGCATCACAACCCCCCCCCCAACATTTTCATATAGCAAATATTTTAAGTTTATACCCTCTGTGACTTCATAGCTCTACACTCTTACACAAATGCTGAACTTTTAAAAAGACAATTAGAAAGTCAAGAAATCACTAACAAAATGTGAGACAAATACCTTCCAATGGTTTCCTGCTTTTTGGTCTGGAGATACACAACAGGTTTCCACTTAGGACACCAAATCACTGGTTTGGGATCTGACCTGTGTGGGTCCCTTTATTGTTGCCAATACTCTTGAATACTCTGGAGTTCTGGGGCTGGATCTCATCAATATGCTGATGACACCCAGTTCTATATTTCTTAATCTTGAAACAATGTCTTGACCCCAACAGCTAAAATAAACTGAAGCTTAATCCTGATATGGTAGATGTGAAACTGATTGCTGATGTTCTTGAGGGAACTAATCCGGGATCAGTTCAAATTTGCAAACCAGATGAAAAGCTGCCGGTGCTCCTGGACCCATCTCTGTTTGAGACAGGTTGGTGTTGTTACTAGAAACACTTTTTTACCAATTGCATCTAGTTCATCAGCTCTTCCCCCATAGTTCTCAGCTAATATGGCCACCCTAGTCCATGTTTTTGTTGCCGAGGAAGAAGAAGAGGAGGAGATTGGATTTATACCCTGCCCTTCACTTGGAGTCTCAGAGCAGTTTACAAACTCCTTTTCCTTCTCCAGCCACAACAGACACCCTGTGAGGTAGGTAGGTCTGAGGGAGCTCTTTCTAGAACTGCCCTTTCAAGGACAGCTCTTGTCAGAACTATGGCTTGCCCAAGATCATCCAGCAGCTGCAAGTGGAGGAGTGGGGAATCAAACCTGGTTCTCCCAGATTAGAGTCCGCACACTTAACCACTACACCAAACTGGGATAACAGTACTGCACATTACACTAACTGTGCTTAAAGACAACTTGGAAACTTCAGTTAGTATACAATGCAGCAGCATGTTTAATATCAGGGAGGTAACTGGGTGTGAATATATGAACGTGTTACAACACGTTATCTGTCTGCTTCCAAGTTTAATTTAAGGTGCTGTTTGTTTTCTTTAAAGCCCTGCATGGTTTGGAATCCACACTTTCAGTTGCGTTTCTTAAGTCGGTTACTTCCCATCACCTGGGGTTTTCCTTTGGCCAGAGTAAGCACTTTTTCTAGTCTATCCCCACCTTGAGGTTATGAAGGTCAGTTTAGTGCAGATGTTAGAAAGAGATACAAAACTGTTTTCTTGATTAGAGTTGCTTGGTAGATAATTTCCCTTTGGTGATCCATTATTGATTTTATTGATCGTAAACCACCTTTAGTACATTTGGGTGGAAAGATGGCATTTAAATGTTTCAAATAAATATAGTTATTCTATTGGTGGTAGTCACTCCACTGTTCTCAAAAATTATAATGCATTAAAGTCTAGCACAATGCCACAAAACATAAGGAATCATCTCTTTGAACCATTAAAAGGTATAATGGAAAGAGCCACTCAACATCATTTCTATGAAAGATTTAATTTTTTCAAGAGAGAGTGATAGCCTCCTGCATTTGTTAGAGGTACCAGCTAAGTTAAAGCAACATGCTGTAAGCTGACGTATAGCAACTGCACTTCGGCAACTTCACGGGCAACCCATTTGTTTCTGAGCACAATTCACTATGCTGATAGTTACCTTTAAAGACGTTCACAGCCTGGGATCTGCATATTTAATGGACCACTTTACCCCATATGATCCCACCCACCAACAAAGGTCATGAGGACCCTCACTTCTAACAGTCCCCTGTGTTTAGGAGATCTCTTCTGTTACAACCCATGGTGCTTGTTTTCAGTGGCTGTGCTCACACTTCGTAATGGCCTAGCAGATACACTACACAAAGCTCCTATATTCTCTTCCTTCCATAAAAGGTGCAAAATGGAATTATTTCAACATGTTTTTACTGGAAGTAATTAATGAATGACAGCTGGGAATAACAATGTTGCAGCTTTAACTTGCTGTATTTTAATTCGTATGTTTAATTATATATGTTTATATTTTGTAAGCTGCCTTGGGCATAGCAGAAAGGTAGGTACAAAATAAATAATAAATACAAAATAAATAGATAAATAAATAATAAATACCCTCCCCCCCGTGTATTGTGGCCCTAGATAGGAAATGTAAATGTCTATGTAAACCGCTCCGAGCCATCGGGAAAGCCGAATTAAATAACAACAACAACAACAATAATAATAATAATAAAAAAAATTAGTTCTGGCTGCAGACTAAGGAAAGATTACTCAAACCTATATCACCAAACACAACTTGGCAATTAAGACTTCAGCAACCTGCCACGTCCCTGGTAAGCAGAGTCCCTCAGAGGTGCAAGTATTCTACCAAAAGTAGAGTGAAGCCTGAAGTTTACCAAGCTACCTGATATATCCACCACTTTGATCGCAGCTGCTTGAGGGAACTTCTCTTTAAGGATCTGTGCCACCCTGGCTTCGCCATCAGTCAGTGAAGCAAACTTTCGCACTGTGCTGCGCAGGAGAAAAAAGATCTAATGGATGTATAGAGAGAGGTGATGTTAGCTTACTATGAAATCAAAAGAAAGTCACACACGTCCCTGTTACAGGGACAAAAATGCATCCCACTCCACTTTCAACCAAGGACAAGTGTGCAGTATGCAGATACTGTGAACTAGCCATAGACAATTTACTGCCTTCAGCGGCACAGGATACTACTGGTATGGCGAAAACTAAGCTAGCTACTGGAGGGAACGAGGTACACACAGTACTGCCAGCACCCTGCCGGAGAAAGCGGGCCGCCAGGGGAAGGGCAGTGACAGCCAGGCTGAACAAAGGGCTCGTTGGCAGCGCTCCCTGGGCGATGGGACACCTCCCGGGGTCACCAAGCGCTTTTGCCGCGCCACCACTGACCTCTCTCCTGCAGGCAGGCACCCCATCGACAAGAGCCGCAGCCATCAAGCCTCTAGGTCAGAAGGGAGCGAGCTTGTCTGTGTCGACGAGAGATGACGTCACGAGCGCCGGTCCCTTTTGCCTGCGCCGCCCCGTTCGACCCTTCGCTGAAGGATTTCAAAGCGTGAAAGAAAAGCTAAAGCTTCGCTGTCTTTGGTGGGGTTCGCGGGGAATGTTCGGCAGCTTAGGGTCATGACTCAGCATCATTGATTTGGAAGTAGTCCCACTCTCAAAGCGCCTCTTCAAGCACTGCAAACACCTGCAAAGGTCGCCAGAAAATAGAGCTAAACCTACAAAGTTGCCAGAAAATAGAGCTAACTTGAACCTCTTGGGTTGGAAGCAGTCTATCTGAATACTGGACGCCGACGGAAGGTCATCGTCTACCTGTTTTGCTTGAGAGTTTCCGGAGGCATCCGGCTGGACCTTGCTGGAAACAGGATGCTGGATTAGACAGATTCCCCACGCAGTGTTGCCAACTCCAAGTTTGGTAAATTCCTGGAGATTTGAAGGTGCCTTGACAGGGCAGAGTTTGGGGAGGAGAGGGAGCTCGGCCAACATAGGATGCCACAGAGTCTGCTCTTCAAAGCTGCCATTTCCTACAGTTTGGAGATCAGTTGTAATTCCAGGAGAACTCCAGCCCCTACCTGTAGGTACATACCCCTTATCCCCACCTCGTAAGAGCAGGGTTGGGCATGGACACAGGGTTGGGCATGGTCTTTGTTGGACAGCATCTGGGGGATGTACTATTAGTGCTTTCCCAGCATGGGGTTCTCTGTATCTGGCTGACTCCACTCCCCTTTCTTTACTCTATCTGAGCTTTCTTCTTCCTTTGCCCTGTAGGTGCCCAAACAGTTCTTTCGGGAGCTATATAAAAGTCTGGCCTTTCTGAAATCAAGATGGCCCCAGTGGCTCCTTCTCAGATATAAAGTTATGAAGTCACTCCAATCAGTATTTGTGATAGACTGAAAGACAATATGGGAAGTATATTATGTGTGAACTGAAAGCTTTCCGTTTCCAATTATGATATTTCTGCCCTTGAAGGCACACAGATTGTACCTTCTATTCAGAGTTGGTGTAGCAAAGTGACCAAGACTCATAAGTGGAAGTAAAGAGACATTTGCAGGGGGAGATTCTGCTGGGCAGGTTATCCCTTGCCTTGCCTGCTAATTCTTAAGCACAGGCCCTTTGCCCAAGCTGAGGCATAGTTTGTACTTAGCATCCACATCTGCAAAATGGGGATAATAGAATTTGTCATTCCTGATTATCTTTGAAACCGTGAAGTGTGCTATATAAATATGTTTGCTTGTCCACAGACATGGGTGTATGGTAAAAAAAGGTAGAAATGCACCAGCAATGAGTGGCAACTACTCCCAAAGGGTTCAGAGCTGAGGACAAGCAACAGGCACTGGTGCTGCTGGGCCTGACACCTTCCCAGTTACATTTTGGTTATGACTGTTCATAACCCTGCCACAGAGCAATCAGCTGCGGGGGGGTACCAAGGACTCTCCAGCAGTTTGGTGTAGTGGTTAAGTGCGCAGACTCTAATCTGGGAGAACCGGGTTTGATTCCCCACTCTTCCACATGCACCTGGCTGGATGACCTTGGGCAAGCCATAGTTCTGGCACAGGTGTTCTTGAAAAAGAGCAGTTTCTGTCAGAGCTCTCTCAGCCCCACCCACCTCACAGGGTGTCTGTTGTGGGGAGGGGAAGGGAAAGGAGTTTGTAAGCCTCTCTGAGACTCCTTTGGGTAGTGAAGGGCGGGGTATGAATCCAATCTCCTCCTCCCCTCCTCCTCCTCCTCTTCTCCTTCTTCTATGATAGTGCCAGCCCTGAAAGGTGAAGCAGGTTCAGAAGATCTCAGCATTAACTGAACTTTGGGCACTGTTACACAAAGGAGGAGAAGAGACAACCAGCCCACATTGTCTGGCCAGGGGTGGGGCAGGACATGAACTGCCAGATAAAGGTTGTGTTATCAATACATAAAGCTGCCTTACACTATTATCTATTGAAGTCAGCATTATCTACTCTGACTGGAAGTGGCTTTCCAGGGCCTGCAGTTGAAGTCTTTCACACAACCTACTGGTTGTCCAGTAGGGTTACCAACTCTAGACTGAGAAACTCGTGGAGATCTGGGAGTTGAGTCTGGGGAGGACAGGCACCTCAGTAGACACAGGGCCATAGAGTCCAGCCTCAAAAGCATCCATTTTCTTCAGGGAAACTGATATCTGTAGTCTGGAGATGAGCTGTAATTCTGGGAGATCTCCAGGCCCCACCTGCAGGCTGGCATCCCCACCTGATCTTTTTAGATACAGATGTCTCGGATTGAATTTGGGACCTTTTGCATGCAAAGCCACTGTACTACCACTGAGCCATAGCTGTTCCCCATGGCCTTCGCCGAGGCATAGTCTCAGGGGAATGAAGGGAATAGGGTGCCCCCTACAGCTTGACTTGCAACAAAGCACAATGTGAGAAGAACTCTTAAGTCTAAATACAGAGGAGGGAAAAAAAACACTGAATTTGAGTGCAAAAAATAAATATAAAATTTATTAAAACACCCACAATAGTTTAAAGATATCAGGAATAATACATTTCGCATACCAGTTGGTTGTGTAACATAAAATACAAATTAAAAAAAGAAGGATCCATACTTGCAATTTTTAGGCATCCTAAAAATAAATTTGCCGAGACACTGAAGGAAAAATAAGTGTGAGGGGAAAAAATACAAACAAAAGGGGGAAATTATACAAAATAAAATTATCAGCATAAATTTACTGTACTAAGGATATCTACAGTTTAATACACATGTCTATTGCCTTGAAACATTGTAAAATCTACCATTTGTCAACCAATCCCAGATAAAACTTCATTTCAAGTAGCCACAGTCACAAATCAACAAAGAAATCTTCAAGTGTGGTCCACAAGGTGGCCTCCACTGGAGGTCTCGTTTTCCAAATGTGAATTCAAAGAGACAAGAAATCAAATACATTGAGAAGTTTCAGCCTCCAAATAACTAAACTGAATTTGTCTGCCAAATCCAACCTGTTTTTTCCCCTAATTTTTCTTAAATAAAAAAAATGCCTTTAAGACAGGTTTATACCTATACTTTCTTTTACACACAAAAATGCATTAAAAATAAATGCTGAAAGCCAACTAGACAATGCACATTTTCCAATGGTGGAATAGCAATGAGTAATCTCCAAGCAATGGGTGCTTAAAAAAAGAGAAAAGGAAAGGCAAAATAAAAATAACATCCCTGATATTGGAACAGATGAAGAATCTGGCCAATTTGTATAACTATTCTTAGGCAAAAAAAGAGAACAGAAACTTGACAATACAGCTCTTCATTGTGTAATATTCTGTAAGCAGGCAAAGCCCACATGGCTTGCCACAGGAATTTTTTGGAATGGCCCCCTTTGCAATCATCATAAACTACGTAATTCACCTGCTGAGCAATGAGGGCCTGGTTACTAAATGGACCTTCTTCTGCTTGACAATGTGACTGAATCCAGCACCAAAATGTCATCTTTGCCCCGGCTACAGATTGTATCCTAAGAATCGGTTGAGTTTTACCCAGAGTTGACTCTGCCTTCTTTCTGATAGTGATTTCACTAAATAATCTAACTATGTTCTAAAATGCACTTTTTTTTGCTCAAAAGTTTAAAAATTAAACCAAGATCCCACTGTTCTTCCCTTGGGAATTTTTGCAAAATTTGCCATAAAATGATTGAAGAGCATTCTGGCCAAATGTAACACATGGTGGATTTTTAATAAAATATGCCAAAATGACTTTGATCACGTGGGCCCCATTGTACTCAGCAGTGCTTCAGGAAGCCTCTGCTTACTTGAAACCAATGCACAGCTCCCAGTTTCTCTTGCTTCGTTCTGTATAATTTAATTGTCCAAAAGTTTCATTTTTTTAAGTGAGACGTTGCCCAAGAATAGAGTATAAAAGGCCATACAGTTTCTAAAATGTCAAGTACAGTGTTGAAATAATAAAATGTATACCTTTGTTTCTAGTACCGGTATTCATTTTATTAGCTATAACTGAATCACAGGTTGCCACAATACTCTGTTTTTTGAGGTATTTTCTGTATTGTGATAACAGCAAGCTTATTATATGATGAAACCCTGGCTTCTATACATGTTTATAACAACAATGCTTGTGAACTAAAAAGAGAGAGAAAATAAATAGCACCAAAAGAGCATTTTGTAAAACTTTCAGACACATCTATTCACAAATAGTGACATATAAAGCAAAAAAGCCATCATAAAGAAGCGGAATGAAGCAGGCATTGTAGACTAAAGGTTAGCAAATCCTTCTGTAGTCAGATCCTGTTTCCCACCCCACCCCTCCCACACCCCAGCCTTCCTACAGGCTGGGCCCATATTCAGTACTGACATCTATAGAATCTGTGTTTACAATGAGATGCAAATATGGTCCAATAAGTATTATTCCCTGGATCAGGAGAGCAAAGTTAGGGCCCTATAGGACTGTCATAAACCCCCTCCCCCTATTAACAATAAAAGCAAGCAAGCTGAAGAAAATGGCGACTACATTGCTTTTATAAATAGCTGCTCTGTCTCGGAGTGACAGCACCCATCATTTTTGCATAACAATGACCAATACACAAGGTTATGAGTTGTTGCACCATGCACACTTGCTAAATCGGCACAAGTGTAAATTCTGAGTACAATTTGTAGTACTGCGTTTTCTTCCCCACCTTCTTGAAGAAAGTCAAAGGAAAGCATTTTTTTTTTTCATTTTACTCATCCACAGTCCTGTTTATCATGGCTGGATCTTGCACGCCCTTTCCACTCACAGAGCTTTACCAGCAACCAGTCCAGTCTAGGAAAGGAGCAGGAGTAGCTGGAGGAGTAAAATGATCAACCTCAGAGCCTGAGCTTTGCAACTCTATTTCTACCAGCTGAGGATCTAGCCCTAGAAGGAAGATAGTTATCATTATCACCAGAGTTACCTCCTCTGGATTTACATACAAGTAAATGGGCTCAGAATCATCCGGTTGTATATTATAGAC